TTCCTGGTGTTCGCCCTCGGTGCCTCTGAAGGCCGGTCACAGGGGACTCTTGAGGTTTTATACGATGTCCTCAATTGCGTCCTTTCCTCTCTCTGACATGTTCTCATGTCTAAGAAGGTTTTCACAATCATGGCAGCTTTACCCTCTCCTCGTGTTCACAGCGGCCTCTCTGTGGCGTAGATTTGCTCATGTGAAACACACAGGAGCCTGCATGTGCCTCGTGAGCCGGTGTCTGGAGAGTGCCGTTCCGTCCTCACAGTCGTCACAGTACCGGCCCCCGGGGTTGGGGGGGCCATCATGTCCCTGCCCACACAGGACGATTTGTTACCACAGTAACAAATTTATTAAGCGCAAAGTACTTGTTAATGTAACTATTCTGTTCTATATAAAACTATGATACGGTGTTGAATTTCTCAAGGTTACCTCTCTCCAGGAGATACAGTCGATGTGCTCAACTTTTTGTGAAATGGCCTTTTTTCACTTCTTTCCCTTTACTGTTCTTCTTTTATTTATTTTTTAATGTTTATTTTTGAGAGAGTGGGAGTGGGGGAGGGGCAGAGGGACAGGGAGAAACAGAATCCCATGCAGGCTGCATGCTGTCAGCACAGAGCCTGCCACGGGGCTCAAACCCACACACCGTGAGAAATGACCTGGGCTGAAGTCGGACGAACGCTCCAGTGACCGAGCCACCCAGGCTCCCGGGCTGCTGCTTTTAAAAGAAGCTAAGAGGGGTGCCTGGGTGGCTCAGTCGGTTGGGCGCCGACTTTGGCTCAGGTCATGATCTCGCGGCCCATGAGTTCAAGCCCCGCGTCGGGCTCTGTGCTGACAGCTCAGAGCCTGGATCCTGTTTCAGATTCTGTGTCTCCCTGTCTCTCTGACCTTCCCCCATTCATGCTCTGTCTCTCTCTCTCTCTCTGTCTCAAAAAATGAATAAACGTTAAAAAAAAAATTTAAAAGAAGCTAAGAAATATGAATCTCGCTTCCAAAAGGGAATCAACTTTTAATTAAAAGGAAACTGCAGAGCAAGTCACATGAAACAACACTTTGTTTCTTCAAGCAGTAAATCGGCCGCCTCTGTGCTAACATTCAGAGCATTGCCACCTTCTCGTCTGTTTGGAACTTTATTTGGGGCATGTTTTGGTTGTCACAGTGACTGGGCTGTGCCATTTAGGTTTTGTGAGTGGGGTCCAGAAATTCTTCACGTTATGGTATCTTATCTGCCACACATTGTGTATTGTACAGGCAGTTGTACAGAGGAAGAATTTTTCCACCCAAAAGGCTACCTCTGGTCCCTTTGGAAAACACTGAAGCAAAGAACGGGGCGTCTTTCCAACGCAGGGAGACAAAGGTTTGTTCCTTAAACTAAGGTCAAGTTACAAGCAAGCTTAACTGTGCTCTTCTTTACCAAAAGGGACGCAGTGCTTTTAATGCCACAGAGCGGGACGAATCCATTAGAGACGGACACGACACACACCACGAGGCTGACGTGGCTCCGATGCCGTGGCGGCCGTGTAAGTAAACCCGAGGGTAAGCCCGTCGGTGCCTCCTCACTTTGCTGCTGCTCTGCTCCGCGGCCCTGCTCAGCTGCTGGGGGCCTTCCTGGCTGCTTCCGGCCTCGCGCCGCCTGAGTCAATCCAGTTGTGCTTCAGTAAAGTCTTAAAATGTTTAATGTGCCTCCGTTTGTCTGTTGTCCGGCGCGAAGAGAAGATCCCATGTGATCTGCACCTGAAATGCAGACCCGTTGTGTCCGCAGAGAGATCACGGCTTGTAATAAGCGTGGAAAGTCACAGCCTCGGTGCTGGTTGTTGTCCATCGTGGGAGCGTTGTCAGTCAGCCGTCACTGACGTTGGTTTTCTCTTCAGTGAAACTCAAGCTGAAATGAATGTACTGAGGCAGCTTTTCACTTGTTTTCCAGGCAAAGCCGCCTCCTTGTTTCACCCCCGCATTTTCAGACGGCACAACTCCTGGTGTTAGACTTCGGCTGCACGAGCCCCCCGCAGCGGTGAAACTAAAGATGGTCTGGATACACTCCAAACTCATACACCACATGCAGCTTTGCTTAGAGCCCATCGTCCTGTCACCCCTGTGAGCCTTTCCTGGGGTCCCCTACAGCCAGGCCCCATGCTCCGCTGGCCTGGGGACACAGAAGCATGTGGATACGGACAAATAGGGGAGGGTGAGTCTCTTCGCTCTGCCTGCTGGCGTGTGGGGACCGTGTGCAAGTCCTCCGGGAGACCGCTGCAGAAATAGCCCTCCTGCACTCCCCACCTGTTGTGCGTGTCTGTGCACGAGGGTGCAAGATGCCGCTGTCAGTCTCTCACACACACCCTGACCCGCAAGCCCCTTCTGCACCCTCCAATGTCCCCCATAGCACCCTGTGGATGTTACCGTCATAAGTTCCCTGGGCTCTGTTCCTCTGTAGGTTAATGTCCTTGAAGAAGGAATCATGTCTTTCATTCATCTGCAAATTCTCAGCGCTGAGCATATGACCCAGAAAATGGTACCGATACACGTTCACGTTTCCTGCCCTGCGTCTAACTGGTCCTGAGGTTTACTCTCTCCTGGTGCTTGGATCTGTCTCCTCCCCGCACCGCCCCCCCACCCCGGCAGGGGGGGGGGGGTCACAAGACACCTGTTTAGCTCCAGTTTCAATGTCGATTCCTCTCAGCTCCCGTACCTCATTGTCCCCAGCTCATTGGCACACTGAGCTGTCGTCCCCTTAGACACCTGTTCTAAATCTTTGGAAATTTATTCTAACCTGCTTGTTTGAAATACGACCCTTCCAGCTTAACTATAATTTCATTCAGTACAAACTTATTCCAAATAAAACTTCCCCTCCCACAGCAAAGCTCAGTCTAGTTCACTCAGGGTAGACTCAGTGTTGTCTAAGTAGCAAAATGCAGTTACATGTAATATTTTATTTACAATACTCTGTGTGGACATTGGAAAGACAAATATTGGATGGTACTTGAAGTCATCTTATATGATGAAAATCTCCAAAAGGGCAGAAGGCTGGGCCCTTAGTTTTTACCCCAAGTGACCTTTGTTTCGAACGCTTTTTGTTCTGTGTAATCTGAGCCTACTTTGCAACCAGTTATTTTGAATAGGATTTGATATGTTTTAGTTAAATATAAAGCTGTTGGTCGGAAGTACACCTTTTTTTTATTATAATCATTAACATCTAAAGTATCAAAGCAAAAGAAAAAGCATTTTAAATATCAGAACTGTGGGGCGCCTGGGTGGCGCAGTCGGTTAAGCGTCCAACTTCAGCCAGGTCACGATCTCGCGGTCCGTGAGTTTGAGCCCCGCGTCGGGCTCTGGGCTGATGGCTCAGAGCCTGGAGCCTGTTTCCGATTCTGTGTCTCCCTCTCTCTCTGCCCCTCCCCCGTTCATGCTCTGTCTCTCTCTGTCCCCAAAATAAATAAAAACGTGGAAAAAAAATTAAAAAAAAATATCAGAACTAGAAAGCACGTGACCAAGAATAAAAACCCTTAAACTAAGTATATCTAATTCTGTGGAAACTTGTCGCATGGTCTGCTTTTTTCTCCTTTCCTTACAGATGCATGAAAACATCATCACATGCATTTTTGGTGTTTATATTGAAAAACCAGTGTCCTCTGCTGATAGAGCCTTTCAGCTTTCTTCTGTCTCGCCCCTTCCTCATTCTCTTTATGTATGTATCTACCTACCTACCTACCTACTTAGCAGCCTCTGGCACCCAACATGGCACTTAAACCCACAATTCCAAGATCAAGAGTCACACACTTTCCCACTGAGCCAGCCAGGGGCCCCTCTTTATCCTTTAGAAGAATAGACCTCTGGGGCACCTGGGTGGCGCAGTCGGTTAAGCGTCCGACTTCAGCCAGGTCGCAATCTCGCGGTCCGTGAGTTCGAGCCCTGCATCGGGCTCTGGGCTGACGGCTCAGAGCCTGGAGCCTGTTTCCGATTCTGTGTCTCCCTCTCTCTCGCCCCTCCCCCGTTCATGCTCTGTCTCTCTCTGTCCCAAAAATAAACAAACGTTGAA